AAGTGGTTCTGAAGCAGCCCCCCATCCCTCCCCCCTCCCCTACTGAGTCAGACCAGGAGTTCTGCTCACGTCTTTTAAAAAAAATTTTTCCTTCATCCTGAACATTTTTGCTGCTTATGAAAATAAATTTGAGCCTTGGTCAGAAAAAAAGACTGAAGGGTTTTATATTTCTGTCCCGAGAGAAGGTTTTTTTTTTTTTTTAATTTATTTTTTCCCCACGGGACGTGTTTCTTCCTGCTTCCTCCTCGCGACGCGGTTCGCATCAAATCAGACCATCTTTTAAAAAAATTAAATGTGGCATATACTTTTTATCATAACTTCTGATCTACTTGGCCTAACAACACAATTTTAAAACTGCTTTAAAGTTCAAAGTCTCTACTTTTCACTTGAGGTCTCAGAGAGGGTGGATCTTGAGTTTTTTTTCTTCCCAAACTTTATTCAGGTCATCCAGCACTGACAACGCTCTGCTGGTGACATAAACGGCTCTGCGACATGACGAGGGACGCATAAATCGTGCGATACAATGAATTGATAATGGAATTTGTTGCCAACGCTTTTAATAATCAATTTTATTGATTCGTTGTTGCAGCCCTACTGCTACTATCCTCAGCAGTATTTGACTGTTTGGACCCAGATTAATTCATGTGGATGTGCACGCCTGTGATTCTGTGAGCTCTCTGATGTAAATGTTCATCTGTACAGATGATGAGGTGCGGCTGCCGGTGTGGCTGCAAGCACTGATGGACGCTTGTTGCCTGGCTACAAACTTCAACCTCCAGGGTGTTGCCATCTCCCTGCTGATGGACCTCGTGGGACTCACTCAGTCGGTCGCCATGGTGACAGCTGAGAGCGTGGCATCCAGCGGCAGCTCAGAGTCTGCCCAAACCATGAGTCCCAGCCAGGGCCGAGTGGCTGTCGTCATCAGGCCTCCCCTCACTCAGGGAATCCTGAAGTACATGGCTGATAAAACAGACTTCTTCAGGGTAGATATTCTTGTTTTTTTTATTTTATTTTAGTAGAACTCCAGTTAGTTTTTATTGGTCGGGACTTTAACATCCAGTCTGTCTGTTCAGAGGGTCGCTCTAATCTTATGGGACCAGCTGAGCGAAGGGACACCTCAGCATCATCAGCGCAGCGTGGAGCTCTTCTACCAGCTGCACAACCTGGTGCCTTCATCCAGTATCTGTGAGGATGTCATCAGCCAACACCTAATGCACAGGGACAAGGTGAGCTCCGTGAACATGTCACTGCTCAGTACAAAAACACAATACAGCACTAAATCTGTTTTTTTTTTTTGTCAAATTTATTCATTTCATTAAAAAACAAACAAAACATTTGACATATAACAAAACAATACAAAATAAAATNATTCATTTCATTAAAAAACAAACAAAACATTTGACATATAACAAAACAATACAAAATAAAATAAAATGAAAGGCAGCAGAAGAAAAAAATAATTCTTATATCTGCTCCTTTAAAAAATATTTTAAACAATGATAAACCAAATAATAAAAACAAAGAAATTAACTCCTCAGACAGTAACTAATACAAATTAAACAATTTCATATTTCTTTAACAATTTTTCCTTGATCATTTTCTTAAAGTAATTAACTGATCCAATGCTCTTATAGTCATCCTCCAGATTATTCCATAGTCTTTTACCTTTTACTGAAGTGCATCTGTCCTTCAAATTTGTTCTGATTTTCGGTTTAACAAACATTTGTAATCCCTTCAAATTATAGCAGCTTTCCCTCTTAACAACACATGATTGGATGTTTGACGGCAACACATTTCTATGCGCCTTATACATAACCTGCAGAATGTTATAATCAACCAACTCATGAAATTTTAACAATTTTAATTGATGAAACAATATGTTAGATGGGTGATAGTAATAATAATCTGTTTAGGAGCAGACATAAAATCCAACTAAATACTTTTAAACTACCTCTGAACACCAACACATCACAGCGCAGGTATTACTGCTAATAATGGTGATCATTAAAAAAAGAATTCATTGTAAACTGAGAAATATCACATTGTTGCTCATTTATTAATTTTAATGCAATTGTGGACTTTTTACTGCAGTTGAAATTTTATTAACCCATTAAACTTTTGAATTTATTAAAATTCAAAGGGTTTTCACTACAGAAGGAAGTTGTAATTAGATAGAAATCTGGCTAATGCTTATTTATTTATTTATTGTTTATTTGAATAAGAATAAGTGTCAGTTATTAAATACACTGTACACTAAAACTTTTATAGCCCAGGCAATGCAATGCCAGTCCCTAGATGTGCTTTTAGCAACATGAAAATAAAACCTTTAAAGTAACAAAACATTGCAATATTGAGACAATTCATAAAACAAACATAAAAACAGATCATAATAACCTCATTACGAAGGTGGCAGTTATTCCTGACCAAAAAACTGGTTCCCCTTCAGAAAATTCTTCAGTCTTGATTTCAAACGGTTCCAGTCAGAAATCTGTTTCAAATCTGTTTATAGGGATTTCCACACAATATTCCCTCGAGCAGAAATGTCTGTTTTTGAATGAACCCAGCATATTAAGCCTTAGTAAAATAAAATCAGAAAACAAAGCTTCAGTTTAGAAGTTGAAAGATTTGCTGGTTTAGTAAAGTAAAAATATGTGACTCTCAATCAGTTAAATGTAAAAATGAAGCTTAAAAAAGCTGAATAGCCAACAAGGTGTAACATTCCCACACCATGTGGAGTCCTATTTAATAAAACTGATAATTTGATCTTAAATATCTTGCAGAGAGTTCGTTTGGAGGCTCATGTAAAATTCTCTGTTCTGTGGCATCTGACCCGAGATCTAAACATCACCAAGTCCTCTCCTTTCAGCCGCACGTTCGACAGGTCAGTCTGAACCGTCGTTGGTTCACAATCAGCTCCGTTTTCTRTTGACTTTTTCTTTTATCCTTGCATCATCAGTGTTTTTCTGTACGATGACTCTTTGTTTTTGGCGCTTCAGGTCTCTTTTCATCATGTTGGACAGTCTGAGTTATTGGGATCCTTGTACCAGCTCTGTTGGTCGGGCTTGGCTGAATCAGGTCCTTCAGAGACACGACATTGCTCGGGTCCTTGAGCCCCTTCTTCTCCTCTTGCTCCACCCCAAAACTCACAGAGTGTCTATTCAGAGGGTACAAGCACAGCGCCACTGGACTCAGGTGTTCCCTGACCCCACGGAGCAGGAGCCGTCAGAACCCGCCTACAACAGAGACTCTGAACTGTCTGACAGTAAGCAGTGCAGAGTTATTTGTTTTTTAGATTAATTAAAATTCATTAGTCTGGGTCATAATGTAAATGTTTATTTCATCAGGTTTGTGTCGGATCCAAAGAGAGAGACTTGGACAGGATGATTTCCGAGGTTTGATGATTGGTGACATGGAGCCCTTCTGTCTGACAGTCAACCCGCTGAGTGACAGCTTGTCCATTCTCAGCCTGAGCAGTGAGAACCTACAACTAGCTGGTGAATATCAGCCTTCTGACCAGCAGGGGGACCCACAGAGCTCTGAGTCCAGTGGTTCTCACTCCTCTACACTGGAAAACGGGAGCTTTGAGGAGCCAGAGGGAGTCGGTTGTACAAGTGGCTCAGACCGACTTCCTGGTTCCTCCGATGAAATATCTGATGACTCGGTAGAAGAAGTTGTGTACTGTGTTGTAAACGAACTCATCGACAGAGTTGTAGATGAGGAATCTCAGGAAGAGTCATCTGCACCTGAAAACTGGCCCCAAACTGATACTGAAAGCACTTCCTCAGACACGTCCACCGGTCCCCGTCTGGACTCCTGCCTTCCTCCCAACTCCACTCACCAGAATGTACCAGAGATGTTGGCTGGAGGCACGCTGGAGCTTCTTTCCATCACACCTTCGGGTATATCAGCGGAGGAGCAACACAGAGAGGGCATCGTTCGCCACAGTTCATCACCCTCTATTGTCACGTTACCAGATGGTACCGATCCAGCTGCCYGGGATAACCTGCAGGTAGATGACCCTCAGGCCCGCAAGCGTAGCCACAGCAGCACCCAGCTGAGCCTTAAAGGGAAGATCATGGAGAAGCTAGCAGACAAATCTCCTGGGGCGAAACCAAAGGTCAAGAAGACAAAGAGGAAAGAGGAGGAGAGGCAGAAAAGGGCAACACACCAAGCCGAGAAACCTCATCCACCCAGTATTTTCTTCGGGGACAGTTTAGATCTGGAGAACTGGTACAGTTGTGGTGAAGGCGAGGTCTCAGAGATTGAGAGTGACATCGGCTCCCCGACTGGGGGCTCTGGAGGGACGGCTGCAGGTGTTGCAGGACGCAGGTCGTCCTCGGCTCCTCCCCGTTTTAACATCCATCCTCTCTACCAGCACATCCTGCTCTACCTCCAGCTGTACGACTCGTCCAGGACCCTGCACGCTCTGTCAGCCGTCGCAGCCATGCTGAGAGCTGCTCCCTCAGGCTTCGTGAGCGCCATCTCCACCACCAGCATCAACAACACCTACACTCCGCAGCTCTCTTTGCTTCAGAACTTGCTGGCCCGCCATAGGGTCTCCGTCATGGGCAAAGACTTTTACTGCCCCATTCCCCAGGACTCCCACACCCACTCATTCCGCAGCGCCATGTACCTGGAGATCATCATCTCACTCTGCCTCTACTTCTTGAGAAGCTATTACTGCGCTCATGTGACTGTAGGCCCTCAGGACTTGGCAGGAAACCGGGCCATGCAGCTGACCAGTGTGGAGGTCTTAACTCTGCTCTTCAGTGAGCTGGCTAAAGTCACAGCTGGTTCAGCGAAGGGCTTCGCCAGTTTCATTAGTGACGTCCTGTCAAAGTGCAAGGTTCAGAAAGTGGTTCTTCATTGCCTGCTTTCGTCCATATTCAGTGCTCAGAAATGGCACGAGCAGCGGGTGGCGGGGCTCAACGTGGCCACAGTGGAGGAAGGCCTCTCTGAAGACAGCGTCATCAACCTGTCGGAGGACCAGATAGACTGCTGCAGCACCGTCCAGTCCCAGTTGCTCAGGTTGCTGCAGAGCCTGGTTGTTCTGGAGCACAGGGTCCTGATGCCAGCAGATGAAGGTGGAGAAGGTGGGCCTGCAGGAGGAGGAGGAGGGAGCGGAGGGCCAGGCGGCAGCAGTGGGGCTGGGTTTGAGATCCTGGGCGGGGAGGTGGAGCATGTCAACCCTCAGCAGCCGATGACATCATTGCAGTACCTCCACGGCCAGCCGGTCACAGCGCAGGGCATGTTCCTCTGTGCCGTGATCAGGGCCCTGCACCAGCACCACGCCTGTAAGATGCACCCTCAGTGGATAGGACTCATCACAGCCACCCTCCCTTACATGGGAAGAGTGCTGAGGAGGGTGGTGGCCTCAGTGACCCTGCAGCTGTGCAGAAACCTGGATAATCTCCTCCAGCAGTACCGATATGAGACTGGGATAACAGACACCAGGTACTGATGCTTGAATCTCATGGTAGGAGAGTTGATTATATTTTTTACCATCTGATCATTTGTACATTATTCTTTCTTCTGTTTCACATGTTTAAACTTTATAATCTTTGATTGTCTTCTAGACCCCAGTGGATGGCACTCTGTATCCCCCCAGACCTGATCCTGACTGTGCTGGAGGGAGTGACATCCATCATCCATTACTGTCTGCTGGATTCCACTTCCCAGTACCACCAGGTGAGGGCATCATGTACTTATATGAGAACTGACTCAGTTTTGCAGTCATTCAATTAGTTTTTTGTTTCTTTGTAGATACCTGTATTTACCTTATAGGTTAGTAATGTTGTTGGATCAGTTTGACCTGTTTAAACTACATTAATATTGGGTGTTTTGTTGCACATTGTGCTGCTCAGCTACAAGCGAGTGTGGACCAGAAGCATCTGGCTGAGGCTCGTTCAGGCATCCTGTCCATCCTCCACACCATCATGTCTTCTGTCACTCTGCTGTGGAGTGTCCTCCACCAGGCGGACACCTCAGACAGACCAGCTGCTGCTTCTGCCGCCTTCACTTCCAATATCAACCTGGGCTCCACTAAGGTACGGCAACAAACGTGTTCATGCATTTTTATTTAAGGACTTTGTACCGTTTCACTAATACATATTTTATAAGGGTTAATATGTGGCAAGCAGTAAGGTTTGATTTGGTAGTTATTCCTCCCAGCGTTGGTAATAATGGAGACGGGCAGATTGTGACAGATACTGTTAACAGCACAATACAAACTTCAGAAATTTAAAAAGTGGTCCAGCATCAAAGTTAACGTGAAGAAAAGAGTTGCTGCACATCAACGGACTGTTTCAACCACACTGTAGAGGAATTTGATGTATTTGGGCATCATACAGCCGGCAGGCTCCGCCTAGTTTCCATCTAATGCTGGGACCATTTCAGCCCCTGGTCTTTACCAGATTCTAATTTTATTAAATCTAACCACAAGTGTATGCTCAATAAAGTCCATGTCATTTTTTAACCAAAGGAAGCAAAATTGGAAAAGCTGTAAAAGATTTAATCCTGGTTTATACTTCAATACAACAGGACAGCAGAGCAGCGATAAAATTTTGGAAATCTTTTCTGACCGAGTGTTTTTARTTGTGCTGAAGATAAATTATCATAATTTCTCCCTCTGCCCTCCCACATAACTCCCAGCTCATAGAAAAGCATAAAAACAACAGTCAATAGCAGGATAGGTACTTTTTTCTTCACTCAATGATGTATCAGTGTTAGGAGAGGAATTTTTATTTTTTTCTTGTTAACCTTGAAGCTAGGAAGAAGCTACTCGTCTTAGTTGTCCTTCTTGCTAATTTAGCAACTCGGTTCTGAGAATTGATCATTTTCAGCAAAATGACAGGTAAAAAGATGTTCTGCTCAGAGTGCCGCTCAACATGAACACTCACAAAGTTCTGACCAGTCACACACTGCGAGCTGCAAGGTCTGCAGGACAGAGTTAGCAGATGCAGGGCTCTAGGTCGCAAATGCGGGGGGATGGGGGGGGGGGGGTCGCCAGCTGAAAAAAAAGTTTCCAT